ATTCCTGCTTATTCTACCAAGGGTAAGTTTTATGGACAATCCTATAGCGTGTTGGAGTTTGTCATGTTTTCTCTCATTGTGGTTTCATTTTTGCTTTTCCTTAAGCAAATCTTAACAGCTTAAAATAGCTCTTCGTAAAAAAAAATAAAAATTAAAAGGACATTGTAATGACCCATGGTAATGAGGCCGGAGACAAAACAACTGAGGAAGAACGACAGAGGTAACCCAACAATGCAATTCGCGAGGGTTTCAAATTGGTTCTGGTACTCGTGGATGATGGAGGTTTGGCAAAGTTTGAACAGGGCTCCTTTTGGGTCCTCATAGTGTGACGATGCAAAGCGTACCTCCAATGCCTGAAGAAATGCCTCCCAAGTGGTCATCATGTTGTTGGCATGTACCCACTGGAACCAGGTTAAAGCTTCGCCTTCCAAGGCAAATGAGACCATACGAAGCCTTTGTTCTTCTGGCGTTTGATGATAATCAAAGAATTGCTTAATTTTGAAGATCCACGACACCGGTTCGGTTCCGTCAAAACGGGGCAAATCGAGCTTCATGGTAGAGCGGGTGAACGGCTGAATGACGGAGTTGTGTCTTGGGTTTTCGGGCCCTGTATTCATGTGAGCAACCACTTGGGCTTCTAAGTTGGTCATTCGATCATTCATCTCCTCCTCGAAGGATCTCTGGTTCTCAAGTAACTGAAGAATGGCATCCATTTTGTCAGCATGTTTTGATGAAGTCATGGTGTAGGACTCTCAATGAAAGCACCAAATTGTAATACCTATCTTACAGGTTAGGCTTCCTCCATAAAGAAAAAATAAGGTACTAATAATTCTCTGTCTTTATTCCATAACAAAATGAATACATATAGTAAGACAGTGTCCATCAAGAAAGGACACGTCACAAAACAGGAAGATAACAATCTAGCAGAATCATAACAACCAGAAAAATACTATCCAGCCCTCATGCCCACAATAAGCCATGTGACCTACTTTAATCTTCCCTTAACATTGCAATCATAGTCCTCAAAGTATTTGGGCCTAACTATAGTGCGTTTAGGCCTATTCCCCAACATTTGGCTGGTGGTGAAGTCACTTCCACAATCTTCTACTCCTATACAGTTCTTGGCCTCATTACCATGGGTCATTACAAACATAATATCAAATGTAATTTTCCCTTGTATACAAATAGGTTGTTACTTATGCATATCATAATTATTATCGAGTATATGACATATAAAAAAAAAAAAAATTGATAACACTGTTCAAGTTTCACTTTGAACTTAATTACCAGTCATGCACCAACGACACTACACCCATCATTAAGCAGCAACACCCACCAAACACACCACACTACAGCTACAAACACCACTCATCAGTACAAATACACCAACCTGCCATGATCAGTCATATGAATCATCTACTCACCATGACATAAAATGAATCAATCGACCAAGGTCACGAGCTCATTGCTTCTCTTTCAGCACCAACATCGACAAGAGTTGGTGGAGTTTGTCGGTGTCAAACTTGGCCAACAATATAAGCTCCTCGTTACAACTCGTGCTGGACTATGTAGGTTTGCATAGGTGTAAAATGACCCCATTTATCTTCCTTTTAATATATCAAGTATTTTAGTAATTTTGGTTATCTTAGTATATTCAACTTTTAACGGTTCTAGTTTATTTACTAAAACTGTTGCTTTAGTTATTTCATTCTTTGGCGGATAGTAAATTTTTCCTACTTCTTCAAATAATTTAGGAACATCTATTTTTTTCATAATTCTTAAAGCTAATATTACGATGAGAATTAGTTAATGCATAGCTAATTGAATAAGTTATTGAAAATATTTTATCTCCAAGTTTTATTATATTTTTTTTAAAGAAAATTATGTTCTAGAATAGTGATTTTTCTAGTCTTTTATGTATATATCCAATCTTTTTTCTACCACTTTCATTATTTATTTCTTTGCTTAATTTTTAAAATTTTTTATTGGATAATAATTATAAACAAGTGTTTTCATATATTTAATATATGTCTATAAGTTGTTCACATGTATATTATATTTCCACAGTATATAATATTCTCTCTTTGATGGAATAAATTCATAATATATTTTTTTTTTCACTTCTTTTAATATTTACTCATTCTTTTCAATCTAAACCTTCTTTTTGTATTTTCTTAAATAAACTTGGACCTATCATAGTATTTCTGTCATAATTTTCATCTTCGTCAACTATTTCTAGGTGTTCTAAGTCCTTAGAAGCTTTTTTTTCTTTCTATTTTCATAACTATAATTTAAGCATGCACATAAACATAATATATTTTTCTATTTTCATAACTATTGCTTTAACTACATTTTCACACCCGCAATTCTTATTTTGTTTGATCTTAAAACACAATTAATTGAGGGTTTTTTTTTGTTTATAATTCATGGTTGGTTTACTTAGTGCATGAAAGGGCTATTCAAAATTTTTGGATAATGCCATATCTCTTTTTTCAATAACTTTTTCAATTGTCTTACTTAGCAATAAAGTATTTGGCCTTTTGTAGAGTACTTTGATAAAGGAATCTTTTCCTATGTACTAACATTGGAAAAAGATGTTTGTTAATTGATTTGCAATGATCGTAATAATTTGATCTTCATTATATTCTATTTTTGTGAGTTCACCCATCAATGAAAAAATATTATTATTTACTTCCATAAAAACAAAATACTTATAAAGTTGCTTAAGAATAAGGTCACGGTAGAATGAGTAAAATTTAAAGAAAATAAAATTTAAATGAGATCATAGTAGTTTGTCAAATTATAAAACAATTTAGATTAAAATTTGATCATTAAACTGTGTTTGATTAGTTGTTCATACATAGGCACAAAAATATAACCAATATAAAATTTATGTGTCTAAATTATAGTTTACAACTTAATTATATAAATTTAACTTTCAATTAAAAGTAAATTTATTATAATTATCATTTTATATTGTGATATTATATTGTTATTCAAGTTTTTTTTATTTATATTTTTATTATTAAAAAATAAAATGCAGATAAAAATAAGACTAATTAAAGTAAAGTACAATGCATAAAAAATATAATAATTAATTATCCCACTCTTTATATAGTTATTCATGACATTACACAAAAAAATGTTACATGTAATGACACATAAAAAATATCTCTATAGATAATATATATATATATAT